TGGAAATTCAACCGAAACCGAATTTTTAGCGGAAATTACGCCGCGTGTTTTAAGCGACGCGTGTCGAGCAATAATAAAATGAAATCGAAGTTGCGGTAAGTCGCGTTGAGGTAAAAGATTTCTAATTGATCGCGAACGGTCAAGCGCGACGAAGATGGCACAAGAAGAAGGAGCCTTCTCCATTAGGGTTATCGTGTGACCTAACGGATATCAGGTAAGCAAGCAAGATGACCAATAAGAGGGGTGGGGGAGGATGGGGCTTCGATTACGTCGTACATTTTGCCACACGATCCTAACACAATCTAGTAGAAGCGACAGCAAGTGGTCGTAGGTTACGTACATTGCTTCCGGTATTAACGACACGCCGCGCCACCTTCGGAGCGGGTGGACGGTCAGCTCCGCCGTCCGGCGGTGGTCGAGTTTTCGGCCTTAGCAAGTCAAATTTATGCAGATGTTTGCTCGTCGAAGGCGAGCGAGGTTACGCGAAATTTCCAAAGTGCCATTTCGCTTATTCGAACGGGCGATCGTTCTCCCTCGAAGGTAGCTCTTTCTCTAAGTCTGGCCAAATCTCCCTCCTCGCGGAACTGAACCCTCGAAATGAGATAAGTGCTCGAGAAACGTGGATTCTGCAGTTGCTCGGGAGAATCACGTTGATTGTTAGATCCTTCGAATACCGATCCGTATTCCCCGGATCTTGATTAATGCTGCCATTTTGCCTCCGTCGTAGGTTCGCTACCCGCATCGCATCGCTATCGCACCGAAATGGCGATATCGCGTCTAAGATAGAAATAAATGACAGATATTTTATTAAAGTTGAGACGCTAAAGAGATCCTTTGTTTTTGGTAACCCGTGAAAAGTGAAAAAGTATTATTGCGTGTATTTCTATATCGCGCGTTAATGAAATGTTAAAATTATTCTCTCTTTTAATGGAAAAATAATAAGTTTTTTTCTCTTCATCTGGATTGAATTATTCTGACGCGACTCGTATTGATCATACGACAAGTATTGATCATATTATTTACAGATTATTTCGAAGAGAAGCAATGTATAGGATTTGCGAATAATTTTAGATGACACTTTTCTCCCGTGTCATATAGACAGTTCCGTAACAAGGTCGCACATTTTTTTTTCATCCACCAACCCTGTTGTTGGACGTTTGCATATTATTCAGCGCGGCCTTCATCCTGAATTTTTTTTTCTTTACGAATTAATATTTGTCACGTGAAATCATGACTGTCTGTTTTAGAGTTTTTTTTTTTGCATATCTAAAATCTTGTATCAAGAAACGAGAATGCAATGTAATTCGAGGTATTGATCATTCTCTTATCTTCTAATTGTCAATTTTAGTTCTAATTGACAAATCAAATATCTGAGAGTTTAATGAAAATATATCGATACATTGTTTTGCAACTCTCTACTTATCTTTGGAATGTGAAGATAATCTATATTTTTTATTTACTTCACATTTGCGGATCATGTAATTTCATATTGAAAATGCAATACGTTTTATCAAAATGCGCTTCCCTCAATTTATACAACACACGATCGAAATTGATATCGCTTGTCGGCATTGACTTGGCGTCATTAATATATTCGTGGATATAATTTGGAAAACAATCACTCGCGATGCTTTCCATCGATGCTGAATGCAATACACTGATTGTCGGATGTGCGGCACAGCAAACAAAAATTTGCCAGCGTGTATTGCAATTGTTTGTTAGAACAAGGTTGGATCGCTTGTTTATTATCGGGGCGGGGGAATCGATTCGCGCGCGTTTTGAACATATCCGTCGGTTCGCGCATCGCTCGTTTGTTTGTCTCTGTTAAAGTATAGCTGTTCGTGGTTTTTTGCAACATTGTCTCTCTCGCAGCAGCGCGGTATACGTACGAGGATACGGCGGATATAAAAGTTTTGAAAAAAAAAAGTTCACGCGCGAGAGAGAAAAATACATTTAGTATTTTTTTTGCATCTATTTTCACGAGCGATATTTTTGTCATGATAATCAGCAGGAAAACATCCATCTTTTATTATCGGTCCGTATTTTTCAACAATATTTATCTCTCTTTGTCTTTTTATCTACCTTTCTCTGTGATACGAGATATGTATGTGTACGGCGGTCAGCGACAAACTCTGCCGCTGCTGGAAACAAGATCGTAAAATGCAAATTGCTCGGCGATGCGCCGCGTCGGCCGGAACGTGATTGGTCCTAGGTAAGCCCCCGTAATTCACAATCCTCGTGAGAGTCGATACACTGCTCAAGATCCGCTTTAGTTGCCGTGAATTTGAGAGCAGAACATCAATTTTTGATTTACCGCTGCCCCGATTACGACTACGGGAATATCGCATTTCCTCGACGTTTGGAAAATTCCTTTGCGCTGATTTAAACTGAGTTATTTAGAGAATTCAAATAGAGATACAATATGAGAAAATATGTATGAAAGTTGGTTGCGATCGAGAAAAAGAGAGTGTGTGAAAGAGAGTGAAAAGTGATTTATTATGTTTTTTATATGTTTCCAATTATATATTAATTTGTGTCAACATTTTTATTGCAATTCTTTGTCTAGTAGAAAATCGTTTAGAATAAAAAGTGAATATTGCGAAATTATACAAAAAAAAAGATTTGACATTAACGAATCTCGATTGTCGGAAAACGTTTGAGCTGAGTCGGCATGGATTTTCGTGCCGCAGTTGCGCCGTTTCAAAAGCTCGCGGAAACGACGCGGTGCGCGGTGTACAGTATGCGATATCTCAAACCTTTTGTGTCTCAATGGAATCTTCTATCCTTGCTGAGAAGTGGACGCAAAGTGGGGCAGGAAAACGAGAAGGCGGGTGCAGATAAGGTAGGTGGGTGGAGCGAAAAAAAAGCAAAGAAAAAAAGAAGAGCCCATGGTAAGCGAAGCGTTCGATCAAGAACGAAACAAGTCGCGATCCACCCGGAAAACTCGTCTCTTTTTGCCAGACGCGAAGGTACTTGAGCGAAATTGAAATAATCGGAAACCGACGGGAAGACTTGCCATTGTTTTCTCAGTCATGGAGAAGAAGAAGAAAAGAAAGAGAGAGAGAGAGAGAGAGAAAGACAAAAAGACGAGAGGAGCCTGACAGACGCGCGACTAAGCTATCGGTTTCTTCGTTTCATTTTTTGTTTTTTTTTTTTATTTTTTTAATTAATTAATTTATTTTTCTTCTTTTGTATCGTTTTCATTAAACTGTCTTCCATGTAACTGATATCCGCGTAAGGCGCGTAATAAAACAAATTAGTTGCGCCTTTCGACATGTCGAATGGACTTTTATTTAAACCGCGTTGTCGCGCTCCCCTCTCGACGTTTGACGCGCATGTAAAGCTCTCTTTGCGGGTCGACGAGATTAAACGCGAGAATTGTTCTCATGCTATTTAAATGCGCATTGTCCAGTCGTATTAGTTACGGCGCGCGGCACAGTGACTAAAATCATTTTATTGCCGATATTTAGTTCACGGATCAATACGCCAATAATGTACAACATTGTGTGTCGCGCTTGTTAGAAAACGATAAATAAACGTAAGTTGAATAATGCAAACATTACTGAATAATAAATCGTTGATTATTACTGGAGCGTTAAATTCGTCGACCGCGAAGATTTCTGTAGTTTCTAATTTTTTCCAGATCGATAATATTTAATTCAATTCAGTTACATTTCTTTTATTGAGAGTAATTTTTTTTCGCGCAATAAATTGTTTGACCGGTGTATGTAAAAACTTATCAGAGATGTATCGGAAATATTTTGAATTTATAGATGAGAAGAGAATTTTATTGCGTATATTGTATTCGATCGATCTTGCGAAAGTTAGAAACAGATAAAATCTCTTCTGTTTAAAAAAAAACAAGGAGATTTTTACGTATTGTTTATATGTGTTTATTAACATTAAGATAATGATCCTTGAATTTAGATATATTTCAGGTTAAAATGTATAAAATTGATACGTGAATTTGATTGGATATAGCAAAAATGTGTGTTGTGTGTTACAACACTTTTGAATTTTCAACGTTGATGAAATGGCCAGCGCTTGGTTGCAAATTTACGTATCAAAAACCGACTGATATGTAACGGCACAGGAAAAGTATCTGAATTCAAGTAAAATCTCTCTCTGTTGTATCGTTTGCACGTTAAACACTTATTGATATGTGTGTTATCGCACAAAATACACGATCTGCATACCCGATATATATCGTATAAAAGTGATCACATTTCGCAGTAACTTGATACGCACGAACAAATTTACCATCAAAATGGATGGCAAAAAAGAAAACGTAAGAGAGACATAACGTGCAATCGCATACAATGTTTTAATTGTTTAGTTACTAATGTTCGTAACACGTGCGTTCGTTCGATGCAGAGACGCGATGTGATTATTTGGTGTACCGATATTTTTCACAATAAACAAAGTTTCGAGAGGAAACTGCAATACAAATTTGTGTCTTGCAAATCTGTTTCTGCATCGAACAACGCACGTATTTGTTTACAGGATTCGCGCGCGGGCCCGTAAAAAATTGTCAAAGTTTTTCTACATTTTATTCGATTCGGATTGTATTTCCATCGCGATTACATTGCGCGCATAGTCGGTTTGTTATTATTTCGATCCTGATAATTACAGCCGCGAAATATTCGCGATTACAAATTTTCATCTAAATTTTGTATTTTTCTCATAATTAATTATCCCGTCGTCAGAGTATCTTTAATTAAATTGCGGAGAAATTGTTTTCAAATTCTTCCGAATTTAATTAATGGCTAATAAATCGTGCGCTTTCTACATCTCTCCTTTTTTTTTTTTTTTTGTTTTTAATTATTTTTATTAGAATTTTCACACATAATGGCTCTTTTAATGACGCGCGATAAAAACGATCCCTGAAATGTGAGACCGCGCGCGGGTCCCAAAGTTGGGCGATGTTAGATAGAAATTTCTCGCCGGTCGTGCAAAAAGTTTTGGTTGTTCTAATGCGCGCTTCTTCTTTAACTTGGCAGGTGAACAACGCAACAGCAAGGGTGCAGACGAAAAAACCGCCAACGGTACCGAACGGTATGTTGAAACTTTCTTATCACTTTTATCCCTCTGTAACTTTTGTTCCTCGAAGCTTTCTCCCCGAAATGCTTAATACCAGAGCGGCTGCCGGCGGAGTTCCATTAGAGCTCAGAGACATCGTATTATAGAATATTTTTGCGCTTCGTATCTCATAATACATGTTAAAACACATTGAAGAAAAACCCCTTTAAAGTGACAAGATTATATCTTTTGCTCTTATATCGTTTTAAGATAAGAGATTGTCGTCGTATATTATGCGGTATATATATTGATATGAAGTATGATCGCGGATATATTTGATGCGTGAAATAGGAGTTTCATGAAACTCGCGGTAAAAGCACACGTTAGAAAAATACGATTGCGCTTCTAAAAGTAGTTCGCGGAACGACCGATCGCGTATTGCTCGCGTGAGAATGATGGGCGAAGAGGTGGTTGGTCCGTCCGTAGGAATAATAAAAAAAATATGACACGTATGTATATATATATCATCTCGATATCACATTTCGATGTTATGATGCACAAACGTGCGGGCGTATTTTTCTGGAATATCACGCGAAAAATACACATTTTTCACAGACTTACATCTAACGTTAAAGATGCAAAAGGGTCTTCTTCTCTCTTATTGCGAGAAAAACTTTGCGTGACGTTTCTGAATTCTCGCGATTCTTTTTCCACCTTTCTCGCCACTTTGCAGTGAGAGAAATTTGCATATAAAGCTCGCCCAATATTGCAGACAAAAATATTCTATACACACTCGCATGTATACACATTCTGCATTTTTGTTTCTTTTAAGAATATTTTGGTTTAGCTACATACACACACGTGAATTTAAAATTCAAATCGGAAAAAACTTTTCTACAGAAAAAACATACGTGTATTTCCCCAAGGAATCTAAAAACTAATTTACTGGAGTATAAAAAACAAATCCCCACACGGTTTAATATTGTTCCAACAATAAATTCCAACGATATTTTTTTCTAAATAAACTTATATAAATTATATTTTTCGGAACGGATGCGAAGTTTACACTGTGTGTACGTTTATTGCACAAACAAGGACTCTCTGTAACACGTAATAATGCCGGGGCATTTTAAACTAAATCTAACCTCCAGGTCCGCTTATGCACTGTCCGATTTAAATTGCGGCTTAATCCGGATTACCCGGACGGACCACCAGCTGCGAAGAGAACACATTGCAAATATGTGGCATTACGTAACCGGCGACTGCTCAAATAGGCTCTTCACTGATTACACCATGAAGTCCTTCAGTCTAGCAAATGTTTCTAGGTCTCAGTTAATACCTAAAAGCTTCCGAAAAGATCTCTCTTAAGTCTCTCGGTTCTCTACGCGAAATATATTTGCACAACTATCGGTTTTAAAAAATTACGTCAAAATTTCGTCGGTTAGTAAAATGCTAAAGGTTTCTTTTTTCGTCGCAATTCATTATTCTCCCCGAGAGAATTAAATCGAGACGCGTATACGTATATATGTTGACCTCTCGCAGCGCGGGTCGAAGCGACAAGGCTAGTCGGAGTTATAAATAATTGGCACTTAAAACGGTAATAATAATCACGCTGCCAAGTATTTCCTAACGTGAATATAATTCTGGTTCAGCGGGTTCGAACTTTCATCTCGCGCGCGCAAAGGATGTCAAATGACGCCGGTGTCGTTTTCGGTGTCTCTAATTATAACCGTATATTCATGAGATTCCATACATCGCCGCTACATGTATATGCGTGAAAAGACGTAAAATTGATTAACGTCGAGATGTAAAACAAACCTTAAATCTCACATTATTTCTTCACGCATTTTAATTAAAGCGGTACGAACATCCGTCGGATTTACGTTAGATTTAAGCCTATATTGGCCTGTTTCGAATTTAATTTCACAATTGCAACTCGCCCCAGTTTAATTGCAACCGAATCAATAGAGAAACTTTTGCGTCCGGCAAGCGACATTGATTCTCTCTCTCTCTCCCTCTCTCTCGCCTACGTAGAAGGCAAACGTCCTATTGAGTGACGATCTGTGTATGAGAGGTTTAACCCTATACGTTACCCACACGCGCGACATGCAATTATCGGAATGCTAAGGCTCGTGTCCTCGGCGGTGCGCTCAGAGAGAGAGACGTTAAGATCAATTCGGGCCATTTAGCGCGTACAGGTGCACACACATGGTGGCCGCAACGCCTCTAATAACCAATTCGACAACTGTCGGCTCGATGAAGTGGAATGTTCGAGATTCGCACCTTGATCGTTCGCATCGAGGCTCGATACTATATAATCGCGCAATAACACATTGCTAACAGTTTCATATATTTACTACTACAACACAGGCGCACGCTATTATTATTTTTATTTTAACATGTTGTGTCAGTGAACACAACCTGTCACCGCGATGACAGCTAGTATATACGCGCGTCTTGCAAATCATATAATACATATATGAGAGAGGTCAACCTAAAAGCTTCCGAAACGATCTCTTAAGTCTCTCGGTTCTCTACGCGAAATATATTTGCAGAACTATCGGTTTAAAAAAATTACGCCGGAAGTTTGACGATTAGTAAAATGCTAAAGATTTCTTTTTTTGTCGTGACTAAAGTCACGTGACTTTACTTTAGTCGCGTTTTTAATTTTTTCTACGAATACGACGAACTGTCAAAATCGCTTCTCTGTCATCAGTTACTCGATCGATCGATTCGATTCGATTCGACTCGACTCGACTCAACTCGATCAACTAATCAATCGGCAACGCGGAAAAGAGACAACAATAAATGAATTTGACTCAAAATTCGCGCAATTCGCGGTACACATGGATTTTTTAATGAGGGAGTCGTAGTTATTTTCAAGGTAAGTCGAGAAATTACTAAACACAACATAAACTTGTAATCGCCGCTGAAAACTTTGCACACAAGCCTCTTACATTTCATGTTGCAAGTGAAAAGTCCGCACGAGACGTGATAAAAATGACATTTAAGGTTTATTTCGTGAACATATTTCTCGTGCTCTTTAGATGTTAATATAAAGAGAAATGTATGCACGTCGAGATTTTGGAACCGATGCAGAGCTCGTTTATTTAGATTTTTTTTTATTATTTTCAGTTTTAAAATGTAACGCAAACACGGAAGAGATTAAATGAAATGCACGAGTGCGAGAGCTTCGCGCGCTTAACATAATTCGATACAAATATGTGTAATATATATATAATTTACGATAATAATAATTTACGCGATATATAACATATATTATAATTTTATAACAACTTCGTTTATGATTAACATTTAAAAATAATTAATATTTTACGATATTATTAAAAGTTTATGATAACAGATTATATAAAATGCGCGCGTTAGATAATTTCGCGTACTGATCTAATTGTAAATTAGTACGCGTTTAATTATAGAAATTTTGTTGTTGGCAATAGTATAGTCGCGGTATACTTTTTCTCCTTACTGGTAGAATCATTAATCTTTGTTTGGAAATATTACATATCTTCGATTCGAAAATAGATCATTATTTCTGTTCTATTTCTTGCAGAGAAAGACATTAAAACATTTAACAATAATTGATAATTGATTTTTAATAGCACACAACGTCTGCGGAATATTTAATTTTGTGTAATTGTGTCGTGAGTGCAAAGTCGCAAATTTATTTTCCGGAGCCATGTGAGCCATTATTTCCTCTCGCCGTACTTCTTCTTAATGCGCCGCAGCGTGTAAATAACGTCGAAAAGATATCTGCAGCTTGCGGCGATCTCCGGTAAATGTTTTTCCACCCCCCTGTATAAGTTCTGTGGATCGACAGGATTTACTCGTGTGAGAGTCGAGTTATAAAAATTGCAAACCTGCCTCCATTCGTTCCATTTTCTCTTATAAGCGCGCGACGATATCTCCCAATTCGCTTAACCGACACGTACAAAATTCACGCGTTTGATTATTTCAATGTTCGCCTGAAATAATTCCGCGCTTGTTTCAAAAATTGAAGGTAATCTTTTAAACGATTTGTTTGAGATACTCGCGATGTTTTAACAGAAGAGATTTTTATTTGAGAAAATCTTCCTTTAATATATGTAGCTGATGTTTATTTGATGTACTTATTTGACGTATCTCTTATTTGATATACTTTTTTATACAACGTCGTAATACATCGATAATATATACTCTTTAAGGAACTTTTGCGCCAAGTTAACGTCTCTGTTATTCATGACAGTGAAATCGTAATGGTGACTTTTTACAACCGGAACGTCGACGAGCCGTCGCGAACATTCGCTAAGATTACACCTGCAATTTCGCTACGTGCTTTATCTCCTCTTCCGCCGTTTAGCCGCAGTTTCTCTTCTTCGCCGCGTCGACTGTGTTTTACGACGCTTCCGCCGTCGCGTTGCGTCGCTCGGTTTCGTGAGAACACCCGGTACACGTGAGATATCGTGATATCCATAATTTACGCAAAAATCGCTGCTCATTAATTGTCGCGTAAATAACGATCTTCCGTACATACGACACGCACGCGTTTTGTCTGCGTGCGGTCGAGTCTCCTTTGTCGTGTTTCCTCGCTTCTTTTTTCGAATGCCCCGCCACATCTTCTTTGCTTCGCTTTATATGTATACGCGCCTCTTCGTGAGGAAAAGCGCGTGCACACACGTGATATCGCACGTAATATCTTACTTCCGCAGGGAGGAATTTTTCTCTTTTCCTTGCTTTCGCCAATCTTGTATACACTTCCTCGCGAACTTTATTCGTTCGACTAAAATCGAAGCAATATTTTCTTTTCTCCGTTCTCATATATATACATATACACACATATATATATATATATATGTTTCCATTGTTATTACCGACGGAGCTCAGCGCCCCGGTATAATTTCAATTTTTTTTTCTTCAATATTCTTTTGTATCATTATTGTACTTACAGCAAGACATTGTAAAATATCTTGTTCGGAGAAAGAATTCGGACCAAGAGATTGAAAATCCTCCCTCTTTCTGATAATAGGATTATTATTATCTGACAAACACAAGTGCTTTTTATTTACAATCCGATTTACCGATAGCGACGGTATGTACATATATATATATATCGTTGGGAAGAGGAACATAAAAAAAAAAGAAGCAATAATCTCGCATTTATTTGCGATGGGGATCGTGCAACTTGAATTTTTTCTCTCTCTTTCTCTCTCCGCTTTTCGCTCACTTCTTCGAGTTTTCAGTTTTTCGCGATGCTCGGCAGAGTCTGCAGACGCGTACCGGTAAGGAATAAGCCGTGAGAATGGAACGATAAAGTTCGCGGCCGGCGAGGAGAGGTTCGTTTTATTAAAAAATTTTATTTTTATTCCCATTGCGAAGCTCGGTCGCCATCGTCACCGTGTGCCGTAGCGGTTAATACCGGAAACGGGATTTAATGGAATTACAACGTGTTTTATATGCACGCCGACATTTTCGCGCGAGAAATTCACGGAACGACGAAAAGCTGCACAAAGAGCGGAAACGGGAACGGAATTTCATGCGCCACCGCGCGACGTGTTTGCGTAATATTTGCATGATATATTTTCGATGCGCCGCTCGTTGTGTGAAATCCGATAAGTTTTATGTAAACCGAACACACCATATTTTGTCCGCCCCGCGGTTGCTTCCGATAAATAAACGGTCACGAAGAAATCAAACCTTGTAAAGATATCGTCCCAAGTGGGACAAGCCCGGCGTCGTCTATTTTCACGAGTCTCTCTCGCGTCATGTCTAAAGATGCACTGACCTGATATACCAAAATATCGATAAGTTCCGACGGTATCACCGATATACGAACTTGCAGTTTTTATCTAGGCGTCCCCAGGCTATTGTTCCAAAAACAGTGTTTTATTACATGTCAACAAGTATAGGTACGTTGAAAACATTTCGGTTTGACACAAAAGAAGGAACGTCATCGTCGAAATATATTTTTTTCGCTCGACGAACGTTTCAAACTTCAACGACATAATACGTGACTACATCAAAGAGGGCCTCGAGTGCATTCGTGTATGTTTCTCTCACGGCGAATTTTTGTGAATTGAATAAAAATCGGGGTTAAATCCGATGTAGATACGGGGACAGCCCGAGTTTCGCGCTCGGGTTATCCGCGACGAGATATCGCGTTTACTCGCCACTGGGAGCGATGATAGGGACGAGGCGGATCAAAGGCGAGAGAGTGAAAGAAAGGGGCGAGTAATTCGCCACCTTCCGTTTCATTACAGTTGCTTTGCCGTAGATACAACCGCGGGGCACGCAATCGGGCGATCAATCCTGTCGCCGGTATTCGCGTCCGTCAGTGTCACGAGCTCTGAGCAAACGCGAAATCGCGTCCCATCACGCGCACGTGTAGATCACGTGTCATTAATGCGCCGCTCCGCGCAACGCAACACCCCCGATGGACCTCTGACGCGACAGATGTGGACATTCAAGAACTCGGCGTATCTCGAAAAATTATTACGTGTTTGTTGTTGTTTTTTTTTTTTTTTTTTTTTTTTTTCATCGAGTTGCTTGTATAAATTTCTCTCATCTATAACAAATATGATGTTATTTGTGTGTTATTTTGCCCGTTTGTTTTCCAATAACGAATGTTACGAGTTCTTCGAAAATCGATATATTGAGCGTATAGCTGAAGGTATATATTGAAATCGTTTTACAGTTAATCATGTGAGAGCAATTACCGATTTAATTAATATATATTTTTTTAATAGAGGCGTGCATAGAACGCGAATAAATGTCTGGAAAACGTGTAAATTAAAATGTTACTTGCAACGTCGCAAAATAAAAAGAAAAATTGTCCGAATATTTCGGAGTTTGCAAAAGATAGTTTCAATTTTAATAGCATCTTCGCGTATGTATGCGCATAATCTCTCGATAAAAAGGGAGGTTCCATAAATCACTCGCACCGAACTTCGCGTTTTGATTCTCTATTTTATTCATTTTCCTGCGAGAGAAGAACAAAATCGAATGGCGTGCGCGCATCCCGAAGGAAAATTGCGATCTCACGTTTTATAAGACGAGAAAAGTGCATTGTCGATAGTTCGCGGTTGCTCGAACGGAACCAATCTTCTCGTTACGTAATTCCCGCGGCCAATTACGCAAGAGAGAGAGAGAGAGAGAGAGAGAGAGAGACCGGTTCGAAATTCTCATTTTTCTATACGTATTACAATTTTGTTTTTATTACACAAATTTCTCTTGAATACATTACTATGTTTGCACAAATTACTCAAGTTGCTTGCATTATTGTTTCTCATGCTGAAATGTCCCACACTGCAACTGTGTTCCTTATTAGCAAACTATTACACGATGACATGATATTTTCGGTTTAACTCAAAATCACCATATGCCTCGTATATAGACGTGCCGTTACCGTCAGGTAATTGCCAACATCGCTAAATACCCTATTAATTATCTTCGCCGGTGGTGCGACAAATACGGTAAAGCTTCATCGTTATATAGAGGCTCTTGCGTCGGTGGATAGAGTTCTAATATATTGTTACAATATTGTGGAAAAAAATAGTTTTGCATGAATTCTTGTCACTGTTTATGTACTTACAAAAAAACCTATGTGGAAAAAAATTTTTGCTAGAATAGCAAAAAGATTAGTGACTATATGGCGGGCGAGAAAAATTTGCTAAGCCTATTAAAATTTGTTGCTTTGCCGACAAAGCAAGTTTGTTGGTAAGAGAAAAATCTCAATAGGCTTAACAAATGTTTCTTACTGACCATATAATAGCAAAACTTTTTTTTCCGTGTACAGATGTAAAGAGAGGTATGTTTGTTTGTTTGTTGCAGTGTGTGTTCAATGGCCAGAGGGTAGGTGCTTCCATGACGTGCCAGAGCCGGCACTGCTGAATCTCTACTTCGAGATCCGTGAGAACTGTCACGGCTTCTCCTGAAGGCAACGACCAGTCAGGCAACGACAATGACGGCCCCCGCGCTCCTCGTCTGTTGTGAGCGCGTGGAAAAAAAAATTCATCAATATTCTTCAGTATCGCGCAAAATGCTGTCGAGATAAAGTATTTATTTTAAAGGTCTTTCCAACAGCCGCAATACACCACGACCAAGCCAAAACAAAAATAAGCCACGTAATAGTCACAGAGAGAACGGACGGAAGTCCTTGTTCTTCTTTGTTTGCAGTTTGAATATGTTTTCGATTAGAGGAAGTAATCTCTCTATCGCGCGATTTTAGTAGTGACGAACTGTTGAATGAACAGAATCGACGGTAGAAAAAATCATTTAATTGTTGCAATTATGAAAGCAGCGCTAATTGAGAGTAATTGATTGATTTGCAAAAACTTTTATTTTTGATGCAAAGCCTGTCGCTTGTTAACAGATTCATGTGACACAGAACATGTTTAATTATTCGGTGAAAAAAATTGATTTTAAATTGACTAAGACTCTTCCCTGGCTTCTCGGAAATATACGGATCCAGAAAATCATTCGTCGATTTTCCGTCGTTTCCGTTCATTCGAGTCGCGCGAAAGCTATACATGAAGCATCACTCGTGTATCGTTTCCAGTCATCGTGATGGATCTCTTGTGATGACACAGGTCTAACACTGACCCTCTAAATGAGCGCTCGGCTAAGATTTCTTGCTGAGCGCCCGAAAGTGGGATCTCTCGCGTCCCTTTATAAAGGTTCTCGATGATCCCAGCAGAAGCAAGGTGGGTGGTCCACAATATATTTATTTGCCTACAAAACTAAAAATTGCTCGCATTCGTCAGCCAGCTCGGGATTAAAAAGACTGTTTTTCTTATATTTACACACATATACGCATTTACATACGTATATATTTTTCTCTATATATTTTCATTTTTGTTTTGTTTATTGTATATTTGTGTGTCTTTTCTCCGTTACTCGAGGAGAAAAACACCCGTTCTCATCCGAGTTCCTTCTTGGTTTTTTCTCGCACATACAATACACGCCAATTTTTCTTCTGTTGTTCCTCTCGAGCCGAAACGAAGTCCCATCTCTTATCATCGCCGACCCGTTTCTACTACGTACTTAGAAAGCCACGAAGAGTAACAGCGCGGAGGAAAGTGCATTGAGCAGAGCAGCCGGGATAAAAATAACTTACGGTAATGGAAGAAGCACGTTTCCCGCGAAAGATTGCGATTATACGCCGAGGAATTAAACAAAAAATATTGTTGTTTAGTAAAGTTCTTTCCTGTTATTATTAGCAATTCGCGTGTAAGTTACTTCCAGCGTTGTTTTGTAACGCGCATTATCCTCCGCGTCAAAAATAAAAGCGGAAACAGTTTAAATCGTCATGAAATTAGTCGCGTAAACGTTTACGACTTTCGGTCACACCCGGTAGCATGCCACAAAATTCATGAGATTAACGAGGCGGTTAATTTAGGAATTGGTAATTAGAGCGGCTCGCGTGAGTAGGAAAAAAAAAACCCAAAGCGAAGCGTTGCGTTGTTTTTCGATAACGTACTTTGAACTTTCTGTCGATAAATTCGATATATTACATTTTCAATGGCAAAAATGATAAAAATAATAACAGTTTTTAGTATTAAAGCCAAAAGCATTTTTGTGTTTTTTTATAGCAAAATCTTTGCTATTTTATTTAATTGAAAATATATTTTTGCCTTGCTTATAGATTTGCCAATTTGATAACGGAAGTTTCATTATTTAAATTGTGTTCGACTATGTTAGTTTCTTTAATTGATAACAAAAAACACGTAACGCGTCGCGAAAATGGTTTTTATTTATTTTTTATAGATATATTGATCCGATGGTAGAAATGCTATTTTTTATCCGTTTACATATAAGTTTATTTATATACGCATTTAAACGTTCCGTAAAATCACGTGAATAATATCGGAATAACTCGTAAATAGAGCAAACCGGTCACAGGGTATATGTAGTGTTACTGATAAATATAATTTTAAGTTTTATATACACGTATATATTGTTTTTATCATATTTTTTGATCGAATTTATTTAGAAGAAACAAACTTCAACTTCGGCATTTTTATGTCAAACAGGGTATTAATCTTATCTCGTAGGTGAGCGCGTTATTTTTAGACATTTTTTTGTATTATTGGTATTACGTAGATCACATACATATATTTTTGTGAGATAAAAGAGATAAGATTGCATTTTTTATAAATGTCGCTTTAGAGACGAAACAAGAATTTAGAATTAAGTTCACGTGGTTCTGCAAATACAACGCGTAAATACACGAGTCGCGTCCTATCTATTTTTGTACTTACGTGAACTTTTTATATCCTCGTTCTTCGCCGAGTTTAGCGTTGAAGTGTAATTGCAGGATCTGCGAGAACGTTAGAACAGTATTGCGCAACCGCATGAGTGCGTACTCTCTATTACACAGGGTTAAACCGACATTCCAAAGATCGTGACATCGATTATTCGCCGGATCAGTAAACTGGGGTAATTCGCCATAAAACGCTCGCAGATAGACGCGAGGACGTGATTTATTACATTTTTACTGATCCATTCACTGATCGATCGTGTGCCATACTTACATCCCACTTTACAAATGTAGAAAGTAGGTTTACTTCGCAGACAAATTGATAGATTTAAGAGATACATGGCATTAGTACGTAGCAATAATTAGACTACATAGTTAATCGTCCGAGTGTTAGTGTGTGAAAAACGATAAAGTATTTTACGTGAAACGCATGGAAAGTACTTGTGAAAAAAGTATAACAAGTTAAATCTGAAAAAAAAAAAAAAAAAAAAAAAACAGCAGAACAATGAACGAGACGAGAACAGTGAAACGCAGATGGAACAAATATGTGATACATGTATATGAGACGAGAAGAAACTCATGTATGTAAGAAAATTTTTTACTGATTTTGCACATATAACAAGTCTATAACCGAGATACAAATTTTACACAACGAATCTGATAGCATTCCATTTGTCTCCAAAGCTCGATGACACTGTTTTCTTGAGAAAAAAAAAAAAAAAAAAATGTGTTTTATTCCAATTGCGCACGCACACAAGAAAGTGGGATTTAAATATCTGTATCTCAGAACAAAAGATAAACTGCGTCCGTGCGTCATCGAGGCTTGGAGCAAAACGAGCAGCAACGAAGCAAATCGTTAATCGATACGAGAGCAACTTGTTCTTGTCACTGTAACGCCGAAACAAATCTGCGCGACGCACAAGCGAACCCGATTTGTCACATCTCAGTCAATAAAGAGGAATTTTTACTTTCCGTACTTGCCGTCGACGAGTCAATCGAAAACCGATTCTCACGATTGCACGATTTCATGCATGTATCTATCAGTCGTCGAAAAAAAAGAAATAGGGAGCAGACGGTGTGAGGAATTGCGAGAGAATTTGCATTCTTTTTATTTATGCGCTATTAAAATCCCACGATCGCAAAACAGTTGTTTGATCGCGAAAGTGAATTCTCAAAAACTAATAATAATAATTGTCAGATTCGAAGTGAAATAAGCGTAATTTTATACAGCTGTATGACTCCGTCTGTCTCTTTCTCTCTTTTTTTTTTATTTCTCTTTTCTCACTCAACTATGCGATCGCTCTGTCGACGTGTTCATTTCGACAACTTTCCGATCTTCTCTTCGCGGGGACGTATCTCACCCCGTCGTTTCCCGCTTCCTAAACTTTCCGTTGCGAATAGTCGGGATATTTCCGTCGACGTGCTCTGTATTCTCCATTTATTCATCGAAATGTCGTCGTTAGTAGTCTTTCTCTCTCTCTCTCTCTCTCTCTCACTCACTCACTCACTCTCTCTCTCTCTCTTTCTCTCTGCGCGACTGCTCTCGAAATCGCGAAAATACTCGAATCGCGTTCCCTTTGTCCTCTCGAGCTGAGCAATTTACGTGCTTGTCATATTAAAGAACTTTCTGTGTCCATTTTTCGAGTAGATTCTCGCTCGAAATTCGCTATCGCGAATAACGCGCGCGCAAATGTCGACGTCGATTTAAGCAATATAAAATGACGGGAATAAAAGACACCGAAAAGAGGTCTCGGCCATATCGGAAGGAAAGCCGGAAGAAGTCGAAGTTCTTCTTGTCTTTTCTCTGGTCGTCTCTTTATCTCGCTTGTTGCAACCTCTCGCGATATCGCTACTCTCTGCCCGACAGTTTCCGAAGCATTTTCCAACATTCCATTTTATACGCCCTTCTCTTTGCTTCTCTTCCGCTATTGCTCCGGTTCTTTCCTCCAATTTTACGCCGTGTCAGAATTCTTTCACTTTAGTCGCGTTCGCTGTCGCGGTCGCGTTGGAAACGCGCGAGAAAAATTGATATTGCTGCCGGGAAAGAGAAAGGTTTACTTCTCGCGACGTACAAGATTTTTTTCGTGACTTCAAATTGCATGCGTCCGACTTTCACATTAGGCGAAATTTTTTCAAATTCGGAAACTGTCAGTTTTGTTGTCAGTTTTATTGAATTGCAAAATTGCAGAGTTGAATGTCGCTCGAGTTCTGCATCATGTTGCGCGAGTTTTTTTTTTTTTTTTCTCTATCAAACAACATTATGTTACGATAAACTTCCGATCGCATTAAGAACTTTTTCTCTCGAATCCATTTATCAGCACCCGGTAGATTGAAGCTAGAAACCAATGACGTCACGGTAGAAAGAGAGAAACACAAAAAATGTAGTTTACTGCTCGTCAGACACAAAACGTTACTAGTCACTCTAACTCGTATTGAAATTTTCCAGAAGTGTAATTCGACGAGTACGTCATTTATTTACTGACGATGACAATTTCGATAATGCATGCTGTAGAATTTTCTTGATTAGCGTACCGTCGCTTATCTATAATCGATATATAACGTAAATATGTTCTGATCCATTTGTAATTAAAGA